ATAAAGCAAGACATCTTATCTAGTCTCATGTTAATGAATTAAGTAAATGGCTCCTTCTAAGAAGAGGCAGCAGGTATTTCTTTACCACACAATCACAGGTTCCATTCCTACTTCTGAAGCTCATTTTTTAAAAAGTTTCTCTACCATGTCTCCTGTACTATGGCTTTTCTAAACTTTCATCTCTATTCTACTCAATCCTGCTTAAAATATAGGTCACATACTCTTTTTCCCAAAGTTTCATGTGTAAAATTTGAACTTTTATGATTTGATGTGTCAGGTAATTTTTAGTGACATTTATAACTCTGTAATCTTTATTAATATTTCCAAAAGCAACACTTGACTATTTAACAAGATATGGGGGCTGGGGATTTAGCTCAGCAGCATAAGCACCTGCCTTGCAAGCAGGCAGTCGTGAGTTCGATCCCCGGTACCGATAAAAAGGAAATAAGAAAAAAAAAATCAGAAACAAGATACGAAAATTTTTTTAATTTAAAAATTATTATAGTAAAAGACATAGACACTAGTTCCCTCTTAAAATGATTCCTTTTACTTCCAAAACAGATCCCATTGTGCTCACCACTTTCTCAAGTATTAATTGAAGTCTTTTTTAAATATCTGCTTGATGTGATTAAAATACAGTAAGTCCCCGAATTACTTATGAATTAGCTCCATTCTGCGAGAACTTTTGAATGTTGATGTCTTAGTGACTTTCTCATTGTCAAGATACAATATCCAAAAGCTACAATGTAAAGGAGGAAACTTTCATATTGGCTTACAGATTATAGAGATTTCAGGGCATAATTGGCTGGCTCCAATGTAGCGTGGCAGAGAAGGTTGCTCATGGCAAGACTGACAGGAAGCAGAGAGTGAAAAGATGAGTACACACAGAAATAAACTCTTTCAGGCCATGCACACCGTGACCAACTTCTTCTCACTGACTCCTACCTCCTAACAAAAAATCAGCTATAAACTCAGTGGACTGAGCGGTCCACTATTGATTATTATACTCCCATGACCCAAAACCCCAACAATGAGTATGTGAGGCTTTAGAGGGACATCTTAGATATAAACCATAACAGTTGACATCTCAGAAATGTTGTCCTTGTTCTCTTCTGGTGGTGAGTTTTCCCCTACAGGGCCTTAATCATATGAGAATCTAAATCAGGTCTCAGCCCAAGGAGGGAGGTACTCATTCTGATACCATTAGTTATAGGTCATTCTTTGTTTTGGAAATAGCCAAGTGGTCAGGTATTGGAAAGAATGTGCAACAGTGGACAACCTTAAAATGTCACTGTTCTTGGTGAGATGGTTTTAGGTCTGAGACTTAACAAATAGTTATAGATGTACTAAACATTGAAGTCTTTGTTTCTTAACTATAACTGAAAAACAAAACATGCTACCTTGGACATCATCACCCTCACTCCCCTTTTTTGTCCTTCAGGTCCACTAATGTCTGACAATCTGCCTTGTTAAGAGTCAGACTTCTTAACACAGTTAGAATGGAATTGTCAGAGAATTCACTACAACCTCACTGGTGTCATTTTTCTCTCTTCCTTTATTACGGATCAGTCACATTAGCTTCCTTTCAACATGCCTTCCCATGTTGTTGTTGTTTTTAAGAATGTTTTGCCATAGGTTTAAGTTACTTCCTTCTATTTATATTTCAGCTCAGATAACCTCATAGGGATCTAGAGAAATCTTCTGTCTTCTCTCTGTGTCAAATTTTTCTCTCATTCTGTTTTATTGACTTCTTACTATCTAAACTTATTATTTGTCTTTGCCAATTAGCATGTAAGTTCAAATAGACAGAATAATTTTCTCTTTCACTGCTGTATGTCTAGTAGCTAGAATCTAGTGCTCAGTATTACATGGAAAGATTTGATAAAGGAAAAAAGACACAAGTTTCCATAAGCTTCATGACCTATTGAAGTAAAGATGATACAGGACCTCCAGATGATATAGGACCTCCAAATAATCCGAAGTATAAGCAAAATGTACTCCTAACCTGCTAGATATCTGATATGCCAAGTTTGTGTTCTCTAAAACTGTGGAATGAATTTTAGGAACAATGGAGGTTAACCATAAAGAAGGATAAACTGGATACTTTCACAAGTAAATGGATATAACTCAAGAACATACTCATTAGTGAAATAAGACACACTAATAAAACATTGTTTCATTAGTGTGAAAAGCTGAAAGAAAAAACCATGTATATGTCTATAAAAATAGTTAAGATAGTTACACTACTGATTTCTTTGAGTTTGCTAAAGAGAAAGATTTGTGCTGGTATTGTTTGGACAATTTAACGCAGATATCTCGTGCTCTGGGTGAATGATTTGGGGATGACAGTGCGCACTGTAGGTACCATTGTTGGCCCCTGATCCACATGCTTTGAAATTTTGTTGTAGTTTGTTTTCTTCTTTTTGTTTTTGTCCTTGAATAAAATGGTATTCGAAAAAAATGTTAAGCCTTTCAGTATCTTTCTTGTTGACAAATTTTTAAAAGGTGGAATCTATTTCTAGCTCACAAAACTCTGTATTTTAAAAATTACCAATAAATATTGAATTTAATTAAAATAGATTTTAAAAAACAATGAAGGTTAAGAGTAGGAAGTATTTATTGAGAGAAAGGTAGCTTCTGGCTAAGAGTGTGTGTGTGTGGGGGGTCTCAAGTATGTGGTCCCAGGGACCCTGCTTCACAATGGAATTTTATAGAATAAAGCTAAGAAGAGAGATGAGTATAACATAGGAAAAAACTATAATCAACTAATAAGATCACAAGTATAGTCATTTAGGTAACATTGGTCCAAAAGGAAATCACAAGGTGGGTATAAAACGGGGCAAAACTAGGGTCAACCAGTGAGATTACGGTATAATTGCTTAGTAATTGTCTTAAGTTACTTTTTACTCATCACTGAGACAAAATACCTGATGCTCAAAGTTAGGGAAGGAAAAGTTTACTTCTTAGTTTTTGGAGGTTTCAGTCCATACTCAGTTGGCTCCAAGACAGTGTGGTATGGCAGGGCAGCCATCCATGGGGGCTGCAAACAAGGCACAAACTGGCAAGAGAGAGATACATCTTCTTCCCACCAATATATTATATCCTGGTTCCACCCCTGGGCAGGTGAAACACACCACCAGTCTGAGTGCTAGACAATGAATCAATCACAAATGCTAGATTTGGTAGAGTCCATAATTGCATGAGGCTTGGGGGCCACTGATATAAACCATGACGGTAATACTGATTAAATGGGGGATCCAATGTGGAAGCAAATCAAGTAGCAAGTATACATAAACAGAACAAGGACTTTTACTGACAGGGAGAGGCCAGGGAAATTTTGGTTCCCTCATCCAAGGTGACTGATTCCTAGAATATTAACCACTGTGTCTATCCCTAGGGGAAGTATGTACCTGAGGCTTGACCTTCAACAAATGTGACTCCAGTTGTCTGACTGCCTATAATATTTCTAAATAACTTAGCAGTCATAATAATATAATCTAGTCATTGTTTTTTTTCCCTATCTGCTGGCCACATCTCTTCCCCCAAGCATTACATGCTGGAATTTCTCAGTTCCATGTCCTGTTTCTGTATTCACTCAAATCTCCCTTCCTAAGCAATCCATTTCAGTATATAGCTCAACTCTCATCAATAAACTGTGACCTGCATTTATTTTAGTCTAGCTATCTCTTCTGCTATAGAATTCACCTGGAGTTGACAAAGGTATTTGTGCAACATGCTTTACAGCTTACTAACCAGTTGGTCAAAACTGAATTTCTAAAACTATTTTTAATTTTTCCTGTCCTCATTCCCCATAATAAGTCAATCAACAATCCTGTCGGTATCATCTTTTAAATATTCTTGTAATGTTTTCCTCTTTGATCATTACATGCTAAATTCAAGCTATTCTTTCTCACAATGGTCTACTCCAATGGTCCCTTAACACCTCCTTCACCTTTGGCGTTTGTTCCTTCTAACCCATTCTTCTCAGACAAAACGATCACTTTTGGTGAACTCTCCAAAAGTTTCAGCATAAAGTCCATGTACAGGGCCACAGCCCAGCACCCCTGGTTCCCAAATGGCCCTCTTTCTTCAAGTTCCATCTAAATCAGTTCTCCAGCTCCTCAAGTTTTCAGTTGGTTAATACTTATTCCTCCTTCGAGTTTCATGTAACTTTTTCAGAGAAGCATTTTCCAATTCCTTTTAGTCCTCATTACTTGCTCACTTGTTTATTTTTTAAACTACATAGGAAGCTGGAGGGGGGCTCGCATTATGCATTATTATATCGGATGGAATCCCAAAGGTCCCATAAAGTCTGCCTACCGAAGACTTTCGAGTTAAAAAAAAATTAGATAAATGAAAAATGGTGTAGTAGAAAAGTATTACGTGTAGAAACAAGAGCCCCGAATACATTTACAAGCTCCAACCGCAGGTACAGGAAGAGGGCACGGAGACCTAAAGCAGAGTTCCGAGTGGTGCAGTCCTCTCCACAGAAGGACAAGATCTGAGACTACAGTCATCTTGAAGTCATTTAGCAGTCTTTAACCTTTGCCCGAGAGCGACAGTCTATGACAGAAAGCAGCTGCAGTCCTTTTAAACCGCAGCTGCTGACCTCAGTGGCTGGAGACTTGACCTGGCCTCCAGGCGCTGGGCGCTCGCAGCCAGAGGCGCCGCGACTCTCCCTCAGCGGCCATCAGCGCCGGTAGGCGCGCGGCCCCGAGCCTCAGGCTCCGCCCATGGGGCGCGCTGCCTGTCAGCCCGAGACCCAGGGCCTCAGCATGTGGCCTCCCGGAAAAGTGCCTGTCTAGTTATTTGAAGGTTTCTAGTTTCGATGAGGAAAAAAAAAATTACTCGTCAGAAATAAACGTAGTAGAACCACGATGGCTGTTTGGCTTTGGAATGGAATGGAACGGTGACGGTCGGCTCAGGTTAGGGCCGAGGAGCGTGAAACTAGATCGGTGCAGGCAGTGGTGAGGACAGCCGCATCCGGGCCCTCCTGCTGCAGCCCCCCCAACCCTGCCGGGGGTCCTGCAGGTGGGAGGTGCTGGGTGACTTTGGGCGTCCGCACAGCCTGGGGAGGGTGACTGTGTAGTGTAGTCCCGGCAGGTTAGCTTTCCTTCTTTTCGGGTTGTAGGCCTGTGCTGCAAACATGATCCGCCAGATCATCGGTCAGGCCAAGAAGCATCCTAGCGTAAGTTCGTAAGTTCTTTCCCAGTGTTCCTCCCCTGCCCTTCGAGAGCGGGGGCGCGGCTGCCTCTGCCCCCGTGAGCGACCTTTGAGACCTGACTCCCCTTGGGGCTCGCCCTACTTCTCTCGGTTACCCCAGGGCCTCGGGCTGTGACTTAAGCCCAGCATTGTAGGATTTTGGTTAGCAGGAGGAAGGTGAGGGACACTTGCGAAGACGACGCACGACACGGTGACAGTGGGAACAGCCCAGTGGCTGTTTTTTTTGCATTTGGTCGGTCCAGGAAGGATGGATGTGTGCTGGGTAGATTAGAGACCAAAAAAGTGACGCTCTGCGTTTGTCATGCTGCCCCTTGAGAACTTAAGGTTCTCCGCATTGCACCACCAGGCCTTTTGGAATGTAAAGGTCCTTGGGTTTTGGATCCTCACGGGGTCTGGATGCCTTGATATTTTGGGAATTCCGTAGCGCAATGCGCCAGGTGTGATATTGCACGCCTGTAATCCCGACTCTGGGCGGGTAGAGACAAGTTCAAGGCCACTCTTAACTACACCGTGAGACCCTGTCTCAAACAAAAAACCCCAAGAAAGAAACTAATCACATTTAAGTGTTTTTTTTTTTTTTTCCTTTTCGTATTATTTCTTATTTTCCCTCAGTAAAGCTACATGTTGGGATCTACAATTCCCAAACACAACCTTTAATGTTTGTGTTAAACGTAAACATGAAAGAAAAACTGTAAATACATACCAAGTTCTCAAAATAGATGCCTACCACTAACAAGAATTCGTCGCAATATGTTTTCAGTGTGTGTCTAAAGCGGGTATTTCTTTTTGCTTTTTTGTTTTTGTATTTTTGGGGCAGGGTTTTGCCGCATTTGAGATTGGCCTTGAACTCACTTTGTAGCCCAGACTGAGCTCACACTCACAGTGATCCTCTTGACTCAACCTCCCAAGTGGTGGGATTACAGGGGCCACCACACCTGGCCTTAAACTAATATTTGTAATGGACGTGTTTCTTTTTATTCACATTCTTTATTTCACAGAGATTGTGGTGTTCATATATCTGTTTGGAGGCTAACAGATAACTTGTAATAACTTTGTATCTCAACTGGGCGAGGTGGCATACCTATAATCTCAGCATTGGGAGGCTGAGGCAAGAGGATTGTCTGAGACCAGACTGGGCAAAAAAATGAGCTCAAGGCCAGATGAACTGCCTAGCAAGACAACTCTTAAAAAGACAAAACCCCAAACAAACAAAAAACTTTCTCTCCAGCTTAGACAGAAAGGAAGCCATAACATTTAATGGGAATGATGTGTAAATATTAGGCAAATAAAGCCAAAACTTGGTATGTTTTCTTGTAAATTTAAGTAATTACATGTAATTTTCTCTATGTTAAGAAATACACTTGCTGGGGACATAGCTCAGTGGCATAAGTGCCTGCCTGACAAGGGCAAGGTCCTGAGTTTGATTTCTGGAACAAAAATATACTAAGTCAATGATTTTAACATTATTTGTAAATTCCATTGTTTTAGAATACAATTAAGTAGTTAACTCCAGTTAAGGTACCTTTCTTTAAAAAAGTTTTTGAGACAAGGTTTTGCTATATAGTTAGGTTGACCTTGGACTTATTGTCCAAGATCTTCCTGTCTCAGCCTCCTGAGTGCTGAAATTACTAGCATGGGTCACCATGCCCAATTTTTAACCCAAGTTTTTAAGACAGGTTTGCATAATCAGTTTTAAGATTTGGAAATTAATGTGTAGAAAATATTGCAACCTCTCTTTGGTCAACATCAAGAAATTTGAAGATGGTTATTCTTTTATATATTATTTAGTTTTGAGTGGTACTGTAGATTAAACCTAGGATCTTCTTACTGAGCTACATCCCCAGCTGTGGATTTTTTGTTATTTTTGGACAGGATCTCTTTAAGGGTTTTTTTTTTTTTTTTGGTAAGTCACTTAAATTGGTGGGACTGTGCTTGATTTCAGGATCCTCATTCTTTGGCCTCTCAGAGTGCTAGGATTACAGGAATGGACCATCACCCCAGCTTAATTCTTGTGTATTTTATGTTTCATTAGAAGCAAACATAAAATTGTCTATTTTGTGTTTGGTTCTAGTTGATCCCCCTTTTCCTGTTTATTGGAGCGGGAGGTACTGGAGCCGCACTGTATTTGACACGTCTGGCACTGTTCAATCCGGATGTCAGGTAAGTACTTCCAGACATTTAAAACTTTGGTGGTTTGTCAAGCTGGTATAGGAGTCTCAGTTTTTCTAGTGCTGGTAACATCAAGTACAGTATTAGGGAGGGCTTTACTTTTGTAGCCCTATAGTAGATTCAAATCCCTGTTCTGTTGTTATTTAGTTTTCGTGGTTCATGAATTTATCAAAGTTCTCTGAGTTTCATTTTCTTACTGATAAAAGAGAATTTAATACCAAATCTTAAAATGTTTGTAGAATTGAGATAATTGTTTTTATAAAATACTTAATTATGGTTCCTAGCATATAAAATATTTTTGCTTGATTTCTGCAATAGTAATTTTTTTTCAGTTAAAACATAATAGGCAAAGAAAAGAATCAGCATTACTCAGTGTACTTTTATATATACAGTACCACTTCAGTGTTGAACTTAGTAAAAGCCATGTATAAATTCTGTAACGAAGATAGGGATAAGGGCAGCGTCCTCAAGAAGTTGTATTCTCCTTGTTTAAAAAATTGATTACATGGGGTTGCTTATTACAGATTCTGTTTTCATTCCATAGTGAAAGTAATACTGTACTTCCCCTAAGAGAAAATGACATTGATCAATTTAAATTGTTAGCTTCTTGAGAAGAACAAAGCATAATTTTAGTAGCATTTTCTCATTATAGCAAATACAATACTTTCTTTCTTTTAGTTGGGACAGAAAGAATAACCCAGAACCCTGGAATAAATTGGGTCCTAATGACCAATACAAGGTAAGGTATAAAGTCTGGAATGTGTATTATAATAAATTAGGTCATGGAGTAGTTTTTCTTGAAATTGTATAAGTAAAATTGTATTATGGACTTTGAAGAGCTCTTAGATTGTTCTTTGAAATTAAAATATTTCACTGTTGTAGTAAATACTTCTTCCTATGAGTTTTATTTCCAGTCTTGATGCTCATTTATTAGTTCTTAGATAGACTGCTTAGTTGTGCTCAAACTTTTTGTACATAGAGTTTGTGAAAGCACATTCTTCAGTTGTACTCCCAGAGATTCTGATTACATTGGCAGATGTATATCCATTTCTACTGAGAATATCCATTTCTAACAAAGATTCAGGTGAAGCTGCTGCTGCTGCTTAGTGGACTATATTTTGAGTAACACCAAGCTTTTCTTATTGGTATGGTTAAAATATTTTAGATGCCAATTAATAGTAAGAAATTACAGTTAGTTGAAACTTAAATTTTACCATGAACCTCCTAAACATTTTATAACATTTTTCCTCAGGAGTGATTTTTGTAACCTGTCTTTGAAATAATGATTTCATGTACCAGAACCGTTTATTGACTTCCTCAACATAAGAAATTTTGCATACAAACCTTTGCAGTATTGTTGCATTTAAGTATAATTTGCATACCATACAACTCACCCTTATACTTTCTGCTGTACCAGTCTGCTTCATTAAAAGAGTAACTGGTAGTTTGCTTTAGGACTTTATTATGAAGTACCCTGAAGAGGGTGTGTGTGGGACTCCTTAGGAGACACACTGATTCCATGATTGAGGTGGATATTATTGCGCTAAGACCCTGAATTCCTAAGTCAGATTCGTTAAGGTGAATAGACAAAGTGAGGCTTACACCTTTGACACAAATATATGATGTAAAACATGAAAGAGGAAATGTATCTGTGAAAATTTGCAACTTGGGTGTTTGTACTTGGGGACTTAATGTACTGATAATTGCAATTTTCAGGACGACTCTGCTGAATTTAAGCTTTCGGCATAATCTAGGTATGATTTGGTTTTTAATTCAGGTCTTCCTCCAAGATGCAAATAAAAATTTACTGGCTAAGCTGACACAAGCCATCTGATCTATTAACATTTTGTTTCAAAAGTGATAAAATGTCACTTTTTCAGAATTATTTTTCTGTCCTACCAACTTAAGTGTAGTTAATTTCTGGGAAAAAAAATGTTTGTACATCTAAAAAACATCAGAAAGAAAATAGAGGCCAGGTATGGTGGTATATAACCTATAATCCCAGCACTTTGGAGACTGAGGCAAGAAGATTACCATGAGTTGAGAGCACCCTGGACTACAGAATGAGACCTTGTCTCAAAGGAAGCAAAACAGTGAAATAGGTCGTTGTCCTTTTACCATAGAGCTCATGGAGCTTCTGAGTACGTATAGTTGGAAAGGTTACTAAATGATTCTGTTAGTGAGGGCAGTTACCAGTGTTACTGAATATGATAATAATGCCAACATGAGGCCATGTGAACCAAATTATGGAACATTGCTGCAATAAACACCTAGTGTGTTTGAGGTAGACTAAGCTGTGAGTGGCTACAGCACTGGTATTAATAATGTAATAGGAATGAAAAGGAAATATGTCTAAAGAAATGTGGACATGGAGTGAGTAAAACTTACCTGACTGCTTCTAAACATGAAACAATGAAGTAGGCTGGATTAACATCTGTCATTATCAACTAAGAGAATTTCCCTTTTGGCTAATTGACAAAATGACATTTGCAATTTTTGAATCTTTATGGGCTTCTCTGTTCTTTTCCATCCCTCATGAGAACAGAATATGTGGGTAAGGGTTACCAGCCCACAACTAGAATAAAGAGAACATGGAGCAATCAATTTACTAACATTATAGTGTTAATGTAAAAGAAAACTTTATTGTTATAAACCACTAAGATATGAGACGGCTTTAACAACATATACACTCAGTTGCTTAAACAGGAGAAACGCGTTTCTCAGTTTTAAAGACGGAGATGTTAACCAGGTCTGCTCCTTTACTGTAACTAGATGGAGGAGCCAGCAGAAGAAGCTTTGTCAGGCTTCTTCCTTGTAAAAACACTAATCCAGTCATGCAGACTCCACCCTCATGACCTAATTACTTCTCTAGGGCCCATTTTTCAAATACCATTGTCTTGTTGGGAATTAGGATTTCAACATGAATTTCAGGAAGACTTAAATATTCAGTTCACAGCAGAGAGCTGTTCGTTGCCAAGTTGCAAAAGCTAATACAAACAGCAAGATAGCACTATTGTTAGTATGATTTCAGCATTAAAGGCCCAGCAGCACTTCTTCAGTACATGTCCCATCCCTAAAACAGATATTTCAGATCTTCTGAAGTAGCTGCCATTAAATTGGGGTGGGGTAGGGATAGGAGCATGGAAGTAGAAAAGTAAAGCAGATTTTAAAATTATAGTACTTTTAGAGAGAATTTTGAATTTGAAGCCAACTCAAGCAAAACTGCTTAGTTTTGAGAAAATTGGCAGAGACCCACAAGCTTTCTGTTTTATATCAGTATCTTTTATTCAGTGTTTGGCAAGTATGTGACTTGATTTTCAGTTTCCTGTTTTATAAAGTAAAAATAAGAAAAGTTGTGTTGACTAAGATACACATAGAGCATCTAGGACAGGGCCTGGCATCTGTTAGGAGAGCTCTACAATTTTTTTTTTTTAAACTTCTAGTGTATAGCTGTAGATCCTTCTGTAAATATTCTTTCTAATATTTTGACGTATTAGGAGATAGCATAGTTTCTTTTTGAAGTATCAATGACTGGCTTAATTGTTTGGTAAAACTTGCAGAACAAAGAAAACTGCTTTATGGCTTCATCATAATTTTTTGTACATGCCTGTGTGTACATCTCAAGGATAACTTGGTAATAAAGCCTTTCTTTCTTAAAAAAGTCAAGTAAAAGAGTTTTTGAGTCAGAAATAAAGAAGTTAGAGTACATTTGAACAAATGAATACATTTGAAGAAATAATGGATACAGATTTGTGAACTTCTTTTTTCCACAGTTCTGACAATCAAATCCAGGGCCTTGTACATGCTAGGCAAGTACTCTACCCTTAGCCCTGCACTGCTTTTTTAATAAGATATCTTAAGAAAGTGAAATTTTGGTTCTTTTGGAGATAAACAAGGTCCTAGCGGTCTTAGCAGAACCTCTTCAGTATCCTTTGGCACAAGGCTGAACGAGTCCAAGATTATAGCCTTATATGGGCTTATGTGCAGATTTTGATTTTTTTTTTTTCCCAGTAGAAAATCTGGGCCGGTTTCAAGTATAAATCTTTTTTTTCCTGTTAAGTTATTGGGAGTTAGAAATAGGTTTTAAGTTTTTTTTTTTAAGCAATCAGTAAATTTATTTTTAAGATTAATTGAATATGAGGAAATATTTGGAAACAAAAAATGCAAAAATGTTGTATTATTTAAAAGCTACCAGTAGAGTGATTATCAGTTTGATATTGATGCAACCTGGGTTAGGAAGTTAAGGAAATCTCTAAAAGAGAAAAATTGTTGAGAATAAACCCAATTTGTGTCTGAAAAATTACATAAGCCAAAAACAAAATAATATTTTTTATTATCACTAATCTCTCTCTTAGTTGCAAGATTTTTCCCATTAAAATTATAACACTTTCAACAAGTAGGGATGGTAGTTCTCAGTGTGGCTCCTTTTTCTTTTTCTTTTTTTTTTTTTTTTTTGAGACAGGGTCTTGCTGTGCAGTTCAGGCTGGCCTTGAATGCACTATGTAGCCCAGACTGGCCTCAAACTCAGCAATCCTCCTGCCTCAGCCTCCTGAGTGCTGGTATTACAGGTGTATACACCATGTCCAGCAATATTGGAGATTCTCTGTGTACTAACTGAAGATAACGTAAAGTGTTTAGAATTGGAAGTAGAAGTACATATCAGAAGAAATTCTTATTTATTCATGTTGAAATACAATTTTTTATACATTTTTAACTGCTATGACATAAATTGAATGTTTTTACCATAAAAATTCTTATTACAGAAAAAAAATTCTCATTACAGTACTGAAATTTTAGGTAGTGTCTTTTGAAGTGAGTTTTATATTGTTAAATATTCATTATAAAAATTCATTATTATAATTGTTACTATAGAAAACTGAATAAAAGTAATTCTAAGTGTGCCATTTCTCTCTATATGATACAGTATCTAAAATAGCATTTTTCTTTTTCAAGTTCTACTCAGTGAATGTAGATTACAGCAAACTGAAGAAAGAAGGTCCCGACTTCTAAGTGAAATGGTTCACTGTAAAGCTGCTTAGAATGAAGGTCTTTCAGAAGCCATCCGCACAATTTTCCACTTAACCCGGAAATGTTTTTCCTCTACATGCATGAAATCATGTTGATTTGTTGAAGTTACACAGATTAATAAATCTCTGAAACTTGATATGTGTCACTATTTAATGCTGAAAATCTCTCAACTTTTAGGTTATAGGAAGTAAATTATTAGAGTTTAAGGAATTTTGGTGGTAATTTCTTTTTGTGTATTTGTATAATGGACAGTAAAACTAAGCTAATTTAATAAAGCTTTCATTTTGTGTATAGGCCTTTGGTAAATTCACTAGTATGTTCTTAAGACGAAGTGGGAATTATACAAAAGGGCATTAGGAAGAATACCTCAAGCCTCTGGGACATTGGTCAAATGGAGAGCTTGGGTTTCTTTTATTGGCTGATGTCGAAGCGTGTGCAGTTATTAACAATGGTTTTTACTTTGCTATTCTCTTTGTTGAAGAGTTTCAGGGTTATTAGTTGATGGCACCAGAATTATAGTTGAAATCTGAGCCTATTACTGTTAACATGGTTATTAGTAGGCTAGAGATCTTGAATTTCTGGTGCTGTGTCTTGGCAGGGTTTTAAAGTCCAGGAAATAGATACATAGCAATTTTAAGGTAAAGGAAATGTAGGACAGTTCTTTTTTGAAATGGGCTATGGGGTTGGAGTTTGGTTGGAAAAATACTAAATGAGTAATTTTAAGTTACTTATAACACAGCTCAGACCTTTTGGCCAAGTCAAATGATGCAGTAAACAACACATTTTATTTTTTGCTAATTAACAATTAACGCTCTCCTATATTGAGTTTTCATATAAATGTGTATTTGAAAGTTATCACATAGAAGCTTGAATTTAGGTAATTTTGTTTTACCATGTAAATATGTAATTAAGTATTTTGTTTATAGGGTAGTAATCACACAAGATGTCAGGAACTGGACTAAATTTGAGTTATGTCTGTCGCCTTCATATCTAAAGACACATATACATACACAGTTAAAGAAACAGATTTAGATTAAATTACTAGAAATCACTGAAATCAAATAATGGATATTGAACCCAGGTAATTTTTTCATTTGTATTTTATACTTTTGTTGTTTATTTTAAAGAGAAAACAGAAAAATCAAGAAACTAAACAAGCAAAATGCTAACAATAATAAGATGATAGGAATTTAACAATGGTTGTTATACTGCATATTATCTTCAAAATTGTTGCTCAAGTTTGAGCTCAGGTGGTTTGGATGTAACGTGTACAGTACATTTTGTTACTTGACTCCCTACTTTTGGCTCTCATATCTCTTGCATAATTTCATCTCTAGAGCAACATCTTGTAGCTTTGCCTATATAGACTGTTTGAACCAATTCATTGTATTCAGGTGTACTGTGCATTTTAGCATGTTTAATAGTGACCTTGGCCTTTGCCACTAAAGGCTAGTAATGTGTATGGTGGCCTTAGTTATTAGATCAGCCCAAGTCAGTTTAGCAGCCTCAAGTAAATACAATATAGGTTATTAGTAATAACATTTTCTAATATTGAATAGTTTTTTAATTTTTATTTTTTAAGTAGTAAATATTTGTAGTACATAATACTCCCCTTGGGGAGCTGGTACATAGACATAACATTTTCATATTCAGTATCTGTTCTTGGATTGGCATAAAATATATTTTAAAAAACTATAGTATTACTGCTGTCTAGTGAACTATAATAGTAAATTCTCACTTAAGAATACATCAGATGATAATGTTGCCAAAAAAGTTAACTTTATCTGTCTTTAAAAATAAGTTTACTTAGAATTAAAGTTTTAATATGTCTCATTTTTAACCATAAAATAGACCGCTTTGTTTCTTAGTGAGATCCCCAGGCAAACCTGCATTTAAATACAGATGTTGGGTTAATGTTTATGTATATTTGAAAAGTTGGTTATCAGAGTTTACAAATATCTCCCAGTATGTGTGTTAAAATGTAGTAAAGCAAAACCTACACTGACCTTCACTTTCAGATTTATTAAACCACTCAGATCAGATTTTACCCCTACAATTTCATTAAAAGTGGTTCTATTAAAGTCATCAGTGACCTCCAAGTTTCTAAATTCAAATCAAGTTGACACAGTTTCTCCTTGTAAAATATTTTCCCCTTACTTAGTCTCAGTGATCAGTATATTAGTGGTTTTCCTTCTGTATCATTTGACTTTTCTATTTGATCTTTTCCTCGTCCCTTCTATGTGACGGTCCTTTTCATGATTGAATGTCCTATCCAAAGGAAAATCCCTTTGGACCTTTTCTCTGTCCACACCCTTCATCCAGTTTTGTGTGTTCAGATGTCATGCTTTAGATAGTCAAGTGATTTATTAAACAGGTGTCTCATAAACACATGGATATATCTCTACCTCTTTACCCACTTTACCTCCTGTGCATCTACTATCTTAACACATCTTGTGTCCGTCAGTTCCCATACCCCAAGGCATACTTAACTTTTAACCACCAGTAGCACCATCCTTGGAATGATTCTAAAAATCTCATCATGGTCAACTTTTTAAGAACACTCCATATTCAATATATCTGTAAATCCTTTTTTTTCCCACTATGCCTTTTATCTGTTTTGTGCTGCTGTAACAACACCATGGACTAGTTTTATACTAAATAGGAATTTATCAGTTGATGGTTCTGCAAAATCCTGTGTGGAATCCTGAAATCTGGGGTTAGGAGCTTCTTCCTTCTTTCACATCCCATAGTGGAAGGACAATAACAGGGCAAGAGAGGACTGAACAAACCTGCTCTTGAGATAACCCATTTCCATGCTTACTTATCTGTTAGTGAATGCAGATCTCTCATGACCTCATCATTTCTTAGAGATTCCACTTCTCAACACTGCTGCATTGGGATTACATTTACAGCATGAAGCTTGGGGGAAATCCTTACATGGCTTATTTAAAGCACTTTACCTTTAAATATACCTAGCATATGTATTTTTAGTCTATGTCACCTTGATATTAAGCCACCATTATTAGCCAAGGTTATTAAAATAGTGGATTGGCTGATCTCCCTTGTGTATAGTCTTGACATAGCTGGCCTGATCTTTAATACAGAAAGCAGAACTTGACTTTCCACTCTGTATTTTCCCATTTTACCCAATAAATCAAAGTACTTAATCCAACAAGACCTGAGAAAATCTACTGCACCTACTCACTTCTAATAACTTAGCGACACCAATTCTACTGCTCTCCAGTCGACCACTCACACATTTCCGCCTGGTAGACAGATTGGATCTTCCTCATGGAAGCGTGTTCCTCCATCAGAATTCTGCGTTTACCTTTCTTCCTTGGGATTCTCCTTCAAAATACTATCATGGCTCACTCACTTTTTTCTACTCTTTGTTCCAGTGTCAACTTTTCACCATTTTTTTTTTTTTTTTTTTTTTGAGACAGGCCCTCACTATGTAGTCCAGGCTGGCCTTGAACTCACTATGTAGCCCAGGGTGATCTTGAATTTTTAGTGATCTTGCCTCAGCCTCAGGAATGCTGGGATTACAGATGTGAATCACCATGCCCGACTCAGTGTCACCTTTCCACTGGGGCTTTTCTTGTCCAAATTTTCATACCCTATGTTACTAATCTCTTCCCCCTTATTTTCACTTCCATGAAACAAATTATATCGTTATATAATCGGCTTATTTTACTTGAAATATCTATTATTAAAATGGAAGTTTCATGAGCTTTTGTTTCTGGGTTTTTTTGTTTGTTTGTTTTTTTGTCTTTTTTGTTTATTGAGGTATCTTGGACAGCTAACAGGGTACCTAGCACACTGTTGATATTCAATAAGTAATTGCTGAATAAAGGATCAATTGACTGAATATTTAGAAGGAATTATCTATTCCCAACTGGCTATAAGTGATTCTTCAGTAGGTGAGAATTTTAATTAGAAGTGGTAGAAGGTCTTTAAACAAAGACAGCTGTACTATCACCACTGTCCCCAGTCTAATTTTTAAAGAGATGGTTTCTATTTCCAAGCAGAGCATTATGTTTGCACTAAAAGCATCTATCCTGGATGTAGAAGGCTATTAACCTTTTTAAAAAAGTTCATAGCATTTCAATCTTATGGATATTAATAAAGAAAACAGATAAAGGCACAAGGAGAGCAAACAAGACCAAAAAACATACATACTTCAGGAAAACAAAAATAGTATGAAGTTTTTTCAACAGATGGCGTTATCCTCATATGAGGGATACTGAGGGATGTCATATATCACAGAAAACCCATTACATTGCCAGTTCTTAGAGAAGAAATTAAAGATGCATGTACAAGAAAAAAATGCATGGGCAGCAATCTCAGTGACCAAAGTTATCGAAGCAGCAGTTCACCATACTAATAAATGTCTGGAAGCTAATGGCCACCACTGTGCACCTCTTGTAATTGTGGAGGCCAAAGGTAATCTCATAAGTAAATTTAGTAGTAAACAATTTATACAAGTTTTTCTTTTCCTGAAGTGTGTTTACATTGTTTGGCAGACTGTATTATATCTGAAAAAGTCCTAGTATCTAAAATGTCATATTTGTCACTGCCAGAACCTCCCATTTTCTTTTGTTCCTATTTTTTCTCTTTCCAAGCATGAAAGTAATGGATACTCAATACAAAACAGTTCATAGAAAATAATTTTTTATGTATGCAAGCCTTCTTTTCAGTGATTTGAAAGGTATGTTAGAATTCTTTCTTATAACATCAAAAATGCTAAAGTGGAGCATTCAGGAACCTCATTATTTTAACAAATAATTGGTGTTGAGCAAAACAGACACATATGCTAATTTGAAATTCAAGCCAAGTCAAACATATATTATATTCACATTTTTCATATATATTTTAACATAAAGTTTAATACTTCTATCATGACTGTTTTCCCTTTCAAGGATGGTTGGTAGAATTTATCTTTAGAAGAAAGATAAATGAACTGCTGCTTCTTTCCTTAATTATAGGGTATAAAAGATGCAGATAAAAAGACGAAAGTTTACAAGAAGGAAACTCCTACCAAAACTGATAATAGGATTGTTTGAGTAGGACACCACAATAAGCTTTTCACATGTATCACTCTACTACTAATTACAATATTTTTAAAAGACAGGTACT